AAAGAGAAAACGATTAATCGATTATTAAATTAGTCATCGATTATTTTAATAATCGATTAGTCGTCGATTAATCGACTAATCGTGGCAGCCCTAGTTGCTACTTTTAACTTCTTGATGGTAAATGGACTGAACTTGTATAGTGCTTTATCAAGCCCCACAGGGACCTCAAAGCGCTTTACACTACAGCCATTCACACACACACTCACACACTGATGGTAGTGTGATTGATGCACAGCTTTTTAACATAACAGTTTCTGTATTATAGCACCAGGAAGTGCATTTTTTGTGTAGCCCAGTTATTGCACTGGGAACCCATCTTTAATTGTGCATGGTGAAAAAAAAAGAAAGAAAACGACACACAACACAACGACACGCACAAAATTCAATAGAAGGTTCTTTCATTCTTGTTGCATGGTTGTGAATCATGTGTTCCATGTAGCTCCACATGCTGGAAAAAAAAACAAGCCCCCACAAAAACTGATTCAAACATCAAAGCTCATAATTGGATTTGTGTGTCTACACATCTTTTGGAAAAAGAGAAATCATGTGAGTCAAATCAACAAAACAAGTCAAATTTGAGTCACTTCAGCCTGGTAATGGGAGCACAAGAGAGGAGATTCTAGGATTACAGCTCGCGATTTTACCTTTATGTTAGATGTTTACTTGTCTGGAAACAACCCTCTACAAAACCACCCACTGTGCACACTTTTAGAGGCAATTTATTCAAAACAGAAATAGCTTGACTGTGTGCAAAATCCACTTTGGACCTTTTTTTTATTTCAAAGACTCAAACTGTTACCAATAAGAGCGGTTTCAGACAAAAAACAACTACATTTAATCAAGCAGTCAAAAAGAGTTGCTGAAATGGCCTTCTGCTCATCTTGCTGCAAAGCAAACATCAGAATAAAGTAATAATAAAAAATAATAATAATAAACTATAACTAATAAAAGGGAGCTGCCTTTTCTTTTGACGGACCTAGCAAGCACAAGGTGTCCTTGAAAGCACCCTTGAAATAATGATCATGGCAATTCAGGACTAATTGCCTTGGATTTTTCCCTTTTCTTGCGCTAGTCCCCCCCCTTCTCGCTGCCTTTTCTTCCTCGGGGTCACAGAAATGTTTTCATTTCACTCTATTATCAGATTTAGGGACTTTAACAGTAAAATGATTTGGCAGAGACGTTGCCAGCAAGGTGTGAAAGAGAGACGGAAAAGAGCTGACACTGCACTGAGTGAGCTGCTACTAACATCTACATGTAGTCACTTTTTCTAGAGGATGATGGGGGGAGCACGGGGATTATTTTCTCCACTCAGCGGGGGGAGTCATTTCTCTTTATCATTCTCTAAGATAATAACCGTTTCAATAAATACACTCCCGTGCTGAATGTTTTCATCAATTTATCAAGCTGTGTTTTGTTTTCCTTTCTAAAACCTCCTCTTKTGCTTTAACTGATCCAGTGACACCTTTTCGTTTGGTCCGTCTCATCTAACTCAGCTCCACCCCTCCTTTCAGTTTCTTCCTCTTTTCCCGTCTTTCCGTCCCACCCTCTGGCAGCCTGGGCTGATGCGATGCAGGTTGCCAGAGCCAAGGATACATGCGGTACAGGGTAGGAGGTGGGGGACCTTGGGTTTGGGCCCTCTGGCAAAGACAACAAGTCCAGCAGTTGCCTGATGTCTGCTTCAACCCATAGATCTGTCCCCCCAGATACTTCACACTTTCTCCCAAAATACACATCTCTCTTTGAATCCCCMCCTCACCACCACCACAGACACACTCTCCCATTTCTAACGCCTTCATCCTTAACCTGGAATGGAACTGAAATTTGTGCTCAGTCGAGTGTCTAAAATTAACTCTGGTTGCCTAAATCGGGAAAAATACATAAATAAATAAAAATGAGAAGGTGTTTTCGCCTGACTTGTGTTTTTCCACGTAGCTCTAAAATAGAACGACGTCCAAACACCACGTCGACTCCCAGGAGTATGCATACAAATTATGTAAGAAGGACAATAAATAAAGCCAATTTGCAAAAGCACAAAAAATAAAAAATAACGGACCTACAGTCTGRCACGAAAAGTGAGCAATTAGTAAAGAAACAGTGAGAGCTGAAACTTGAGAATGAAAACTGCAAAATAAGCAACAACAACCTTTTTTTTTTTAAAGAGTTTGGCTCTGAAACTGAAGACACYGAACACCAAGCTTAAAAATATTGAAGGAAAAGTAAGTTCAGAGAAATTCTCGTGGTTTTATCCTGTGCTCTCACATGGCAGAATCAATAACCTTAACACTCAAGTTCCAGCTTGTTGTGTCTATTCTGACCACTTGTGGTTAAAGGATTTAATTAGCAGGATAACTTCTCAATGCATTTTTCTAAATTAAGACACATTTGTACAAGAGGGTCAAATAAAGGACGATGCAATTAAGAAGCAATTCCATCAAATATTAAAACATWAAAAGTTTTTTTGTGTGTTTTCTTGTGTAAATCAGTGTTTTTTTTATAACAGGAACACATTTATTTATGCTAAAATTATAATTAATTCATAATCCATCAAATTTTACCATTCAATCCTGCAGCGTTACTATTTTTTTATTCCCACCTAACCTTTTCTCTACAAACCTCCTTTAAAGCTCACTCTGCGTGTGCATTTGTTTTATGGTGGGGAGGTTAAGCAAAGGAGACTCGTGGGAAAGGGGGAGTGAGAGAGAGCAAAAGAAAGAGAGAGCAGGTACTCTGCAGATACCGTGGACCGTTTTGATAGGAGATGTTTGATTTTCTTTTGAAATCATCTGCAGGAGGCCCTCYGCCATATGATCTTTAAGCATTCTGCATTGTGGAGTGGGCCAACGGAGCTGGACCCCCTTTCTGTGTTTGGTCTTTTCTGTTTTTACCTGCTTGTTTTGGTGGGCTGCATRTTAGGAAAGGCAGCACTAAGGATTAATCAGAATGAAGGAATGAAACTGGAGAGGAGTGGTTAAAATCAAGAAGATGACTGAAAAGGAAGGATCGCAGAAAAGGAAAAACAAAACAGATTTAAGGGAGAGGAAATGAAACATTTCTGACAAAACCCACAAGAAGCAACATATGCAAAACCCTAATTATTCAAAATAAAAGCACTCCTGTTCAAAAGCAGTATGTGTGACAAACACTTTGTCARCACAATCCTGCTGACTCAGTTGGTGCACACGTATGTCGAAGAATGCCTTACTTGACAAACTTAAAAATAAAAAAAGATGATACTGTTAACCGGCTGTCAGGACTTACGCTTTTGTTAGAACGGAGGCTCAAGTATGTGCAGGTGGCAGGTGTATACTCACCCTTTCTCTGGCTCTCTGTATCTTCTCCCGATCGGTGTGCAGGTTGGAAAGAATCTCCTGTCCCACTTGTTCTGAAAAAAAAAGAAAAAAGAAGAAGTAGAATAACAAAATCTGTATGTTCAACTTTTGCGAATAGAAACCCTAAAATGGTTGACAACATGCAACACAGTAAAAACTACTGAGTAAAGGCTTTACTGACATACATAAAGTTTAAATCAAAACTTCAATGAACAGAAGGAAGAATATTGGTATTGAATGGATGACTTCAACTCTCTTTAATAAAAGTCACGTTTTAACTGTAAGCTGCTTTGTTGCATCTTTTTCATTAGAACAAATCCAGTATTTTCACGTTTTTAGTACTTTTAATAGTGATATTCTGCATGAAAAAGAGTAAGTAAAGGACTTCTCACAGTTGTACTGGAGAAAAAGTCCAGAAAGAGGACATGAAAAAGTTCAAACTAAAGACATTCGGAACTCATTACACTTTAGTACTTTATATA